GCTGTGTCTTAGCCCCTTCCCTTTTTGATATTTACTTCCATCCTATGATATCTTGTGCTTTTGCTGCTCGTGATTACGGTGTCCGTGTGGAGCGCCGTATTGTTGGATTGCTGAACTGGGCAGCTAACATTGTGTATGCTCTTGTAATGATAACGGTGAGTGGTTGCTGTACCTTTGTGAAGATGCTCGTCTATTTCTCGCATGCACTATCTTCCGGTACAACACCCACAGAAGCGCGACATGTGGATCTGGACAACGACCGACTTTCCCCATTTTTGGGAACCTCTTCAGTCCGGACCGTAAACAGAGATAGCATTTCCTTGACAGGCACATTCCCGCCGTCTTTGAATAGAGCCGGGACCTTTGTGACGTTTCAAAGATTGGTTTGCGCTGCGGATCTCTACCTCGATAAGTGGATTTGCCGGGATGCCAAGCAGCATCCGATGAAAATAGAAATATCACTGAGGTCTGCGTTGGATAATCAAATTGGAGAGCAGAGTCCTCTAACCAGTGATCAAAGCGCCCGAATAGGTTCGCAATTTTCGTACAGTCGAATTCACATCTTGTCTGACTGATGTGGTAAAGCCAGCTGCGACAATTCCCAACTTGTGAAAGGATTTCAATCTCAGTAGTTTTTTTCATCACTAGTATTCACGGTCAGAGCGAAGACCTGCTTTCAACTGTTTAGAAGTAAACCGGCGGAGTTCGTTGTGTACCGCATCAGTGAACACAGCTCCTCGGCGATCTAGCACTTCCGATATCCATCTTTTATCTCTGTAGCGGGCGAGACTGCATCCAGACAAATCTACAGGCAACATGGTTTGTTGCAAGCGTGGTCAGTGCTACCGAACATCCACTGGATGGGAAAGAACGTTTTCCCGAAGCCTTTGTTAACATAGCAAGATGCTGACCTTAATGGCTTTTGCGTTGTGGGCCTCTTTGTCCCTCCCCCTTAGTTTCCCTCTCCAACAGCGATTCCACACTCAATGCATAATGTGAATTTAGCATTACCATTTTTTAGCTTTTGTATTCTTCAACCTTTAATCTCCCACTATTTGCATTGCGGCACATTAGCTGCGGTGTGTTTTCATCCTCGGCAAACGTGTATTGATGATGACATTGATACCCCATTTGCACCGTCAGCCCTTCAAATTCGCCAGTGTTCATTCGGATTTGTTTGCTTCTAGGTGAGCCACGGTAACTCCTGGGAACTGTAACACACACCAAAGCACGATCGGTTTCGACATAAGTTGCACGCCATCTGCGACTTATGGATATGGTCATTTTGCGACCAACACTGGGAGGACGCCAGGTGTCATAGGGTGTCCAGGGTGAGGATACCTCGTGCTGGTGGGGAGATGGTGGTAGTCACTCTTTCTCCGTTGTCATCGAATATCATCAGTGCTCTGTAGAGCTTACAGATAAATAACCAACAATTCACTTCAGCTGGAGTGGAGTCATAAAGTTCAGGCGCCTGTTTTCTTCTCAACAGAGCTAGTTTATGTTGAGTTCCAAAGTGGGACTTATAACCTAGACCACCCACCCAAGTTCATTTGATTCAGTAGACCTTAGTGTCGTGGCTGGCCTACTGAACTATTCAAAATGCCCCACACATGACTCCGAATGGATCATCCTCCTGTCTTTATCGCCATTCGATGGCTTTTTTGGACCCGTGCTTCGGATGAGTGGAGACAGTTGCACAAGGTTTCTCACTCTTGGGCTCTTCTCACTCATCAACTCTGGCCATCGATTCTAACAACCATGGGCGTCGTTTCAGGGTCGCATGGACACTGAAACCGAATATTAAACGCAATCTGTTTACCGTAGTTCAACCACATTGATCAACTCCAATGTAAAGCCGGAGGAAAAAGACCGGGACGCATGTGGATGGGAGCCACGTTTCATCAACGGAGCCAGCCCACACTCCGTCAACATGCATAACACCAGCATTCCTGTCTATCTATGTAGGGAATCATACGTACCAGACATACACAAGCTGGTGGCTGGACCGTAGTCCGTTCCAGACTGGATGGAACCACACTTTGAGCCTAGCACGGCCACGAGCACCGTGCATCCCCCCCCCAGCAACGATTCACAATCTCCTGGAGGCGGTAATTGAGGCGGAGGGTATTAGACAGGCAGGCACCTTGTCAGCATTCACATCAAGCGCAGCCACGCTGGGGATATCAAGCAACCAACACGCAAAATTGGCACAGAGTATGCAACAGAATAACAGCATTGAACAAACCAACGCGTCTTGAAAGACGCTGTTGGGTACCACCCAAACGTGGAGCACTCTCGTCACAGGCAAGCGTGGGATCCGAAGTGGTATAAGTATTCTAGGTAGATTTGCAATCTTCTGTGCAGTCCCACTGGTGTTAATTAATGGCGATGTAGCCAATTTGTGTCGACGGGTGGTCAGGTGATAGGGGTCTCCAAGTGGCGTGTTGGCGATGGGATCACCGAAAACTACTGCCCCACAAGAAGAGGCCGTCATCGGCGCAAATCTGAAGTAGACGCTCACCGTTGTCTGTTTTGCGAGTACCATGGCCATGTTGATCACGGAGTCACACTGTTCAACCGCAATACTTCAGATCTACGTGTTTGTCCCCGGAAACCACCACGATGTCCGTACAACCCTTTTTTCCGGAAAGCTCGTCTTTAACTAACTCTTGACTGCAGTCTTTGGGATCGTAGGCTGATACAATGAACATGCAACGTCAGCTGGCTCTGCGGCTCGACAGTTGCACCGAGGTTTCAAGTCGGATCGCTCAGAGACGACCTTTGGTATGGATGCAGTCTGGTAGCGCGGCCTCTGTACTTGTGCTCAACGCAACCACTACCCCGGCAAGACCAGCGGCTTCGGTGCCTGCGTCCCCAGGTAAGCGCAGTGTGAAAATGCTAACGAAACTCGCGGATGGTGAAATCAGTCGTATCATCGTGCTAGGGTCCTGTAATCGGGTTTCAGTGACCCAGAGAGAGGGAGCGGAAAGTCGTTAAACATTGATCCGTAGGTTATGTGGGCATGGAGCTTCCCGCTAGGCCAGGCCGAGGAAAAGAGTTGACTCAGGGGACTTCACCCGTAGTCTTGGGACATAACCACCCGACACGCAAGACAGTGTGGCGATTGACATTTATCAGAAACCATTGAGAAGCGGTTACCTCGGTAAGGTTAACACGGCTTTTGAGTAGGAACAAAGTACTTAGGACGCACAAGAAGCCCGAGTGAAACAGCACGGAGGTCGCCAGAAATTGCCTGGACCACCAAACTCGGCGGCGAGCACGAAGGCCGTCGACAGCTTTCGTAGAAGTCGGTGGCCATCAATCTTGTTCCTCCGTCTTCCGTTGGGTACTCACTTCGTGACCAGCAGTGAGTGGTCAGTGACCTTATAGCTAGTCCCATTGGCTTTGACACAATGTCTTACTCTAGAGAGGCGGAAGGCAGTGATTGCCCGGGGGATAGAAAGACCACGAAAATGGAGGTGGACGGAAACGGGAACAGGCGCAATGAGGGAGCGCAAACGGAGCTACGCTGGCCTGACAGAACGATACGAGAACTGGTCATGAGCGACTACCGTTAGTGCGTCTGAGCCAGGCAATAAATAAGACAAATGCGCCGTTATTGCAGCCTCAAGGACCGGCCCCATTCTGCAAATCACGAGCTTTCGAATGACTCTAGACCGATCAGAATGGGACGCGTAAAAGCGGAGATACGGGGATGAAATGGGCAGGAAATATTCCACCACGAGGTCCCAAAGTTGCATAGAAGTGTCGCGAGTGGACACCAGGAGAGAAGTGTAGGAAGGAAACCTGACTCATCTAGGTGCGCCTGCGTGAGTGGTCGGGAAGCTTGTGATCGCGTTAGTAAAGATTGTGCTTCATTGCCGTCTTGTTCTTGCTAAATTACGAGCTCTTGTGATATTTAATAGGGGGACCAGATGATCAGCCTGGAACCCATTAAGCTCTAGACGCTGAGGCTGTTTGTCCACCACTGCTTGTTCATCTCACCTGCGAACAGCCTAAGCTTATTCACGGTTACTTTCGCAAGGAAGACATTTCCCGATCCGTAATCTGGGACGCGCCCGGTAGCGTACAACTCCGCCGAACCAATTGGTGGTCGGTTCATTTCCGAAAAACACTCAGGTCGCCAGGAACAATCACTATGTTCACACTCTTTGCCGTACGGATACATGAGAGTTGTCGATGAAATTCGGCTTTGATACCCTTTGAACGGTAGTTGCTTGGAATACACATTGAAACGAAAAGAAGCACGTCTCCACACGGTACTTACTCACTTATTATAGATCGGAATCTGGACCACTGTTTACACACTCTCCAACCGAGTAGACTGCCTTCAGCTTATGGGCCGAGGTCAATACTGGGTTCACAAATCCATTTAACCACAAACTCCATCGTCAGCTACGAAAAGTGTGTAGTCGTTGTCGACAAATTATAGACAGTCGAAAATTTATTCTATACGCTTGTTTTGGAGACACAGTCCACATGCTTGATAGTTCTAACCCAACATGTGTGCATTGATGAAACTAATGTGAGATGAGACACCCTTTGGTTTGAGAGACGAGCTGAATTCTTCGTAAGCAATTGTTGTGGAGTCAGTGGCAGTCTTGTCTTGTCCCATAACTAGATTGCCTTGGGCCTCATCGTATGTGTAATTACGTTGACTATGATGGTACCAAAAACTGTCAGAAGCCTGTGGTTAGCTTTTTGTGACAGCGTGTTAGTGGCTAGGTGTAGGCATTCTGTTTCCGGATGCCGACTTTAACCTGGTTTTACACTGAGTCTCCACTCGGTTTTATCGCAGCAAAATTCCTCCACAAGGCACGGATACACTAGTGTCACTGCTGTTGATTATGATAGTTTACTTGAAAATGAGTGCCATCTTGTCAATTTTTGACATGTAGCTGTTCTATCCATTGCTCAACTCCATGAAATAACGTTTTCCCGTTTATCACTTTTGCTGCACTATTCGCTTTGTTTCAGGACATTTTTCATCAAGATTCGTTCAGGCACTCTCTGCTTTTGCAATGCAGACAAAAACTGTCACATTCATCTCCATCATCTTGGGGTGCGTGTGTATTGTTGCTATCATATCGCTATGCATTTTGGGCCCGGTCCTTCATCACATGATAGACACTCAGTCTCGGCTAGCCCCCGGTTCACTAACTTTTAAACAATGGTCTGAGCCAGATGCCTCTATCTTCCTGCAATTTTACTTTTTCAATTTGACTAACCCGCGTGAATTTCGAAATGGATCGAAGCCTCGTGTGCAGCAGTGGGGACCATACACTTACCGTGAACGGCGCTTCAAACTTAACGTGGAAATCGATCGCTCAAATGACACTATTTCTTACAAGGAGATAAAGCAATACTTTTTCGTGCGAAATTTGTCTGTAGGTCCTGAATCGGATCTTATCACAACTGTGAACATTGTGTACCTGACTCTGACGAACAAAGCTGGGACCAACAAGTACTTTGCTTACATACTTGAGCTGGTTTCGAAATACTTCGGTGAGCAGCTTACTTTACAACGTAGCGTAGGCGAATTGATATGGGGATATGACGATCCCCTGTTGAATTTTTTAAAAACTCACCATTTCCCCGTTAACACCAGTAAAGTCGGTCTGTATGCGGACAAGAACAACACTGATGACGGCACCACTATCATCGTTCTTGGGGACAAAAATCGTGATAATAGAGGAAATATTTTGTCTGTTCGCGGGAGCCGCTCCCTTTCTTGTTGGAGTTCACCATCTGCAAATCAAATCAACGGCTCAGATGGCTCACTTTTTCACCCCTTTCTAAAACCTGAAGAATCCATATTTGTCTTCTCGATGGATATTTGCCGGTCCATCGAATTTGTTCATGTTGAACCAGCTATAGTACACGGTATACCATGTAGGAAGTACCTGCCGTCAGAAGACACACTTGATTCTCCTTTGGAAAACTTCAAAAATCGTGGCTTCTGTCTCCATTGGCCTAACTGTTATGGAAGAGGCGTATTGGATTTATCGTCTTGCCAGTCGGGAGCACCAGTTGCAATGTCATTGCCACATTTCACTCATGTAAGTGTATTGATTTCCCTATCTTCATTTAACACACTGTTTGCCAGCTAAACCAAAAGCCACCAGCTTCTCTTTTGTCAACTTTTCGCCTCGCTTACATCGCGCTGTTTTCTGCTTTCATTATATCGGTCGCATGTTCAACCACTTACTTTGCACATACAGCTGCATGTTGTGTGAAACAGTGGATGACACCAGTACTGTAGTTTAGGACACTTCACTTTTGTCACTGCTTATGTTCTTCCACACTGGACATACTGCTCACCAGTGATTCCTTCTGGTCTATTGAGTATAGTCTTCAAATTCATCTCTAAGTCGTTAAAACACTTGTCGCGATGTAGCGGTGTATCATCACAACGGACTTCTGTTGATATATTTATGTCCACACCTGTTGGTTCTTGCATAGACTAGCGTCAGCAGTACTTGCCGACAGTCACTTCCTTCATTGTGTATTGTCGGAATGTGTGTCTACCTTGTCAACCAGACGGAAGTACTAATTCATATATGCCCGAACATGAGCATACGCTTCAGTTATCCCCTACCTAGCGCGATTTTTGCGAGACCAAAACAGTTGTCCGCGAATTAATGAACCGGATTATGCTGTGATGGTGTTTATCATTTATTAATCCACATTTTTTTGAATACACTTAAATCATGCTGCATCACTGAAAACCTGTGTGTTAGGGCTGGACATTTACCCGTTCTGGGTGCCTACAGCACATCCTTGACTTGACTTGAAGACAACCTTAGAGGCTTCATTGTTTATGAATTTTGTGGTAGTTAAGCTTGATAATACTTCGGCGATCGTTTTTCTTCGGCAACAAGTGTCGCTGTTGCTAATTTGTACTACGCAGAACTAGTGGCACTATGAATCTTTGTGTTGTAAGTCATGTGTGACTTCCGGTGCACAGGCCTCATTAGTCAAAATCGCGTACACTTTGACGTGATTCATGGTCGTATCCCGAATAGCGAATGCCACACGATCAGGTCACATGATAACGAGTGAAAGTGTGTTATGTTCCATACGCGTGTCACTTTAACTGTTATGCTTGCTTTCAGGCGGATCAAATGTATTTGGATGCTGTCATCGGTTTGCACCCATCTGCCGAGTTCAACACAACTTTCTTCGTGGAACCATTGACAGGAGCTCTGTTACATGCCGTTAAGAAACTACAACTGAACGCAAATGTCACGAAAAACCCTACATTTCGAGAGCTGACAAACGTCTCTACTGCGCTTATTCCGATCGCGTTCGTCAATGAAAGTGTTACTTTGGATTCGGCTACCGCCAGAATACTCCGAGATTCGTTGGTTCTAACTCCTCTTATCATTAAAGCTGTCTCGGGTGCGATGCTCTTCGGTGCTCTTGCCACTATCTTCATTTGCGCCGTTTTCTTTCTGTATAAGAGGCGGATAGATAGAACGAATGCCGAGACACGGCCGCTTCTTTCAGATGCTGACTCACAACCAATCTATTCCTGATTACTTGCGCCAAATTGTCACCTAATTTTGCTCTTCAACTTTACTGCCCTTGTTATTCTACTCCTAACCTTTTCTTCACCTTCTTATCCCGGTGCAATTGCTATTCGTGGCTGTTCACGAGGTCAGGTCACACTCGTAGCATAGTTGGTCAACCTACGGAGCGATCATATTCGCGGGTCATCTATGCGATTGACGAACTCCACGTGCGTTACGCATTGAATTGCCTCAGCACAATTTCGGTGCCTTCCACTTTTTCTATCTTTTGCGATCAAGTTACTGCCGTTTTCAATTATCACCCTTTGTTCAGAGCTTATCTGCCCTCGCTTCCCTGTTTAATCCCAAATACTTGTGACTGTTAGATTGGGATATCAACAACTTAATATTGTGGCCCAGTGCCATGGATTACAACCGCTACAAGTGGAAGAACGTTTCCCTAACTGACCGGTCTAATTTTTTTACATTTGGCGAGGGATAGTGATTTGTTTTTCTTTACTACTCTTGTCTCGAATTTTCCATTTCCAACTATACACTCTCTTGAAATCCATAACTTTTACAAAAACACTGAGCGTTGTTCACAACTTAGGGTGGCTCCTAGTTATTTCACTAATGTACGGGAGTTCGGACTAACACTGACAAAGATGCGGGGTGTGCGTGAGGAGTTGCTGATAACGATTTACTGTTGAAATCGAGAATGGGACATATTTACACTTTGATGCGTTGAGTGGAAGACAGCGGGATAGGGACCAGACTGTCCAAGAAGCAAAACAATTTAGCCGATGATCTGTGGTATGATTGTGTACACAAAGGATCACGTCCTCAGCATACTTTAGCAGGATGACATCGTTTGAAACGGGGATTGAGCTAATGTAGGTGGAAAATAGAAATAGGGACAAAGTAGCTCCATGAAGACCACCGGGATTTGTGTGGAATGAAGATCTTTTTCCCTGAACCTGGTAAACTGCGTACGATTGACAAATTAGTTTATAAGTAGAAGTACTAATGAAGGTTAAACTCCGAAAACTAGCAGACCGTATAACAGCAGCTCGCGGTTTACACAACCGAAAGCATTGTTGTAATCTAGGTAGCTGATTTGCATGGGTTTGTTTTTACCATCGAGTGATGAAAGCACGGAGCGTACAAGGATCACTTGTATGGGTTTGAATAAGTATTGTTTCCAGAATAATGTTTTAAATGTTTTCAAGGACATCGGCATACAAGCAATGGGCCGGTACTTACTGCTTCCTTTCTTTGATATAGATGTAATGCTGGCGCTTCGCCAACAGTCGACTATCTCGTGTTGATGCAAGCAAATAGCGTATAGTTCAGAAAAAGGCTGTGCTAAGACCTTAGCACATTCTTTGTGGACGGGGTGCTTTGCACGACTGTATCCGTAGTAATTCCTTGTGAACTGCTGCGCGTGTTCAGTGTCGCATATTTACTGCAGAAAAAGCAAGTGAACCGCTCAGCTCCATTATAGCACCCATCAGGCTCCAATGGCTGGGCCACGTGTTGCGCATGTCAGCACACCGTCTCCTGCGATGTGCATTGTATGCACGCCGGGGTTGTGGTTGGAAGTGGAGGAGGGGAGGTCAAGCGATGATTTGGTCGAGAGGAATGAAAACCCTCACTTCGCAGCTGGCGTCGGTTGGTGCATCCCGGCTACCTGGCTAGGGTCTTAAGGACGATGAACATGTTTGCTTGGACACGTTTGATGAAATAGCGAAGAGCCGGCCCCAGTGGCGTTTGTGTTGTGAGTTTCTTCGTTCATTCCCCTCCCCTTTATATTCCACATCCAATCCCGAGCTCATGCAAAGCGCATAATATAATATTTAACATTATATTACTTGCTTGTAGTCATTTTTGTAGTGTAATTTTAGTATCTTATATTTTTGTATTGCAACACAGTAGCTGAAGTATATTTCTCACCCTCAGCTAACGTGTATTGATGATGAAATGTCACACTGTCTATCAGTGATGAAGGTTGTGGGGTGAGTTGTAACCGTAAAGATGTTGGAAGTACGACTGGGTCTTTTGTCTAACTACGAACGTTACGATCTAAATCATCCACATCGAGAGCGGTGTGACACTGCGGACCACTCCACTCAGGTTTTTCATCATGTTCCATATTTGTCGGCAATTTTTATTTCGAATTATGTTTTGTGCATTATGCTTTAAGATGGCACTGTACTGAAGGACTATACTGAAGCAGCGTCTTTGTACTTGAAAGCTTTTTCTTTGAACCAGCGCAGTCTTTTAAGGCACTGAGATGTGAACCTGTCTGCGTGGATGAATATGGTTTCCAGTGGATAACAAATATCAGAGCAGAAGTTCAAATAGCTAGTTAACTGATCACAGTTCCTAAATTGTTGACAAACACGAAGTCTGCAGTTGCTTGTAACCTGGTTGCACACTGCGCGATGTTCTTCAGTCCAAGATTACTAATGAAACTAGTGTCGTATCGATTGAAATCACTGGCAAAAACGCATAAAGGAATAGCATGAATCTCTTTATGTCTGTCGACCTGAAGGGCCAGGTTTCACAACGATATCAGAGAGTTGAACGGACGGCTGCATTATAAGCTCTGCCCTTCAGGGCCAGAGTAGTGTCGTTTCTACGCCACAGGTGGCGGAGATTGACAAAAGCACCTCGAGCTTTTGCTATACGGCTCGTAACCTCATCTTCGATCCCACAGGCGCTAATATAGCTGCCTGGGTACATGAATTCCTAAACGACTTCTAGCTGGTCACCACAAGGCGTTAGTGCAGAGGTGGGTCCCTCCCAATCTTGGAGAAGTACTTTGCATTTCGATGGAGCAAAGCATAGCCCAAAAAGATTGACAGCCAGTGCTAATCGGTCCGGTGCTGCTTGACATGTTTGGGAGCTGTCACAGGTTTGAGAAATATCGTCTGCTCACCAGGAAGTAGCTCTACACCTTCTAGGTCGTGTCCAACGAATGCTGTTTGCATGGCTTCACCAGTAGCGAAGTAAAAGAGTAAAGGTGACAGCGGGTGACCTTGTCTCACACCGCTGGTGATACAGTAGTGTGGCGACAGTTTTGCCATGAACCTCATTCCCGGATCGCCCAACCCCTGATGACTCATCTACGACAAACCTTGAACTACAGGACCTTCAACTGGCAGCCTTCGTGAGATCGGTGGGAATTTTCCTAATACGGCAGCCGAAGCTCGGAAACATCTCCCTACCTACTTCGAAGCGGCGGCTGGCGAAGAATTGGAGACACCTTTTAATTGAACATCCTTTATCTGCCGCTGGCTTGCTGTCTCGCACCTGCTTTGTGGTCCCAGATCGCCCAACAACGCTTTTATCACCATCAATACTATCTTTTAACCTAATCAACGACACGAATGCTATTTTGCACACGCTCACCTCGATGCACCCTCCCTCATCCCAGCCGCAGATAGGGACCTATAAATGGCCCGTGACGTAAGTTCCCACCTGTCCCATTTCGTCCCCCTCACTGCAGAGTCTGAGCGGTGGATTCGCTGCTTGCTCTTTTAACTAATCAAGCGGATTGGCTTCTACCGACTCCAGTCAGCTCTCGGAACCGCGTCTACCCGTCAACTGCACACGCACTCACCTTTTATCACCTTTAGCCCAAATTTCGGCATCACGACGACCACACGTACTACTTGACCGCGTCCCTCGGTGGCCGCCATCACCACCATGAACAGTTCCTCCTGCCGAAGCTACTTTATCAACACCCGCATCTCCTGCGTCCGATCCGGCGACGATTTCTGGCATCTCCCAGCCTCCTTCTTGTTCGTTGTGCCCTAGGACTTTTCATTCTAGAAGCGACCTGCGGCGCCATTTGGCGGTCCATCTTAGAAACCCGACGAGTTCACTTGCCACGGGTGCTGCTAGGAATACTCCCAGTTGCGAATGCCCAACATGCCGCCGTACTTTTTCGACTAAAAATGGCCTCTCAAAGCACTGGAGACATCAGCATCCTGCCAGTTACAATGCCGACTGTCTAGCCTGACTACTGAGGCAATCTTACAACTGGTCAGTCAGGGATGACCAATCCCTACTTTTAGCAGCCTCACGTTTTGCGGCCACGTCTCCTTCCTTAAATATCCTTTTGGAACGACTGCAGTGCATCTTCCCCTTTCGCACCAGGGACAGTATCAGGGAACGCTTACAACGACTTAAATGATTCTTTCATCAGCATGACGCAACGACTATTTCTCATTCTTCTCCGCAATTACCCCTCCACAAGGAACTGTAAGAGCCTTGCCTTCCTCAACTGTAACGTCCGATGAATCCCATCAATCAGTCCACATTAACTATTAACATGGATTTGTCTACACAAGCCCCTTGAGAATCATACAAGTCAATCCTGCTGTGACCATCCTCTCCTCCGGCATTGAGCAGCGTTTCCTCGTACCTTCTCTCACTGCCTCGATCGTTTTTGCAACCTTGCCTCACTCATCTGCAACGTTGATTCCAGAGACAACAGTACGCCCCCAGATGCAATCGCCTACCATTGGTTTCTCTAGCGATTCTTCAGCTAGATCTCTGATTTCTCTGTCCTCTTCCTGAACGTTGACACCCACATCCTCAACCGTTACATGCACCACGACCATTTAGGGACAGGATCAACCATCCGTTTTCAATTCTACTTGTGAACCTTCCTCGCGCTCACGCCAACATCAGTATTCAGCACTCTGCTGCTAACGGCTCAACAGCTTCTTTCCAACTGTGCCTCTCCTGCCAAAGAGGAACACTCCATGCTTCTGAATCTGGTGAATTTCTTCGCTACGGAGGGATCGAGGATCACATTTAGTGAGGCCCCTAAACGAGTTGTGTTACCGTCTTTCCACACAGATGGAGACCCTCGGAAAACCGCGTACGTGCTGTTACAATTGGAAACGATAAACACCGATAACATCTTCAATGTGGCCATATACAGCGTCTTTACCACACCCGCCGGGAACGCCGCAAATACAGTGATTAACGGGAGATGGCGCACCGCCTTTCACAGTGAGGACAAGAACATTCCAGACTTCACGGAATTTCGGATGAATGTGCTCTCCAGACCTCCTGCTAATGATGACCGCGCACCGTGTCGATTCGTTCCAGCTAATGACGACTTGGTGAAACCGATTATCATGGAGGAGATGCAAAGTGTTCTCAAAAATTTGCCGGGTTCGGCTCCTGGTATAGACCACATCAAGCCCGCAGACTTCGCAAGGATGGATCCCTACCTTGTAACTTCATTTCTCAACTGGCTTCTTACTTTCTGCCCATTTCCCATCCACATGAACGCAGCCCGGATCACCTTTGTATTCAACGTCTCCCAGCCAACCTCCCCTGGTCAATTTCGTCCAATCTCAGTTTCATCTGTCTTCACACCCCTTCTTCATCGTATCCTGTTTGATTGCTGGGTCCCGGCTTTCCCTACCGACCGCCTTCAGTTTGGCTTTCTTCGTAAAAATAGCCCTTTCGGTGCTCCGTCCATACTCCATGCTGCTCTTCGCCATTCTCACTCCTCTCGTACTCCTCTTTCATTTACGTCAGTGGATATAACGAAAGCGTTCG